ACACACACACACACACACACACACACACACACATAGTTGTGCAAAGCAGTCACAAAAACGGCCCTTGCAATTGCTTGCAAAATACACACAAACAAGTAGGCGGAAACCGTCCCGTGCATGAAATGTAACAAAGGTGACCCAGCTCGCGGTACGTAACCTACGTCTCTCGCCGCATCAACACAAACAGTAACTAAGGACACGGACATGTCATCAAGACAATTCACTAACGAAACAAGGGAAACAAGTACTGACAAAGAAACAATCCAACCCCCTGCAACGTCACGTGCTACAACCGTTAAACTAAACTAACAATCCAACCCCCGACTTTACCACATACCACGAGTGCTCAACTAAACTGTCCGGAATGACCTCCATCACTGTGGCACCGACGGAGAACAAGCGAGGGAGGCAATGCCAACAGATGCATCGACATGACGACCAACCGCGGGAGAACATTGGTAGATGCAGGGGAGTTGAGGCAGCATCGAGACATGTCCTTGATGGCTTTGGCGATCTCCAGCAATGCAGTGCACATCATCCTCTTCGCCTCGTCGGACGCCTCACAATGTCGCTGCTGGGCATCGGCCTCATGCTGAAGTATGTCACAATGCCACTCCATAATGGAACATTGTCGCTTGCTTGCCCCCTCCACACTGTCCGCCATTAATGCGCCATGCTTCTCCATGACTTCGGCGATGACATGGAATGTCTGCTACCGCATGTTTTTCCTCTCGTCGTTCCCTCCCGTGCTGCCTGCACAGAAGCAGGATTCCCACGTCCAACCTTCATCGTCGTCGTTGCCATCACCTGCATCTCCCCCGGTGGTGGATTCTCTAGCAACGGATGGCGCACGTGGCATTTGCACTCCTCCGCGGGCAGATGGTCTTATTGCCCTTGGATATGTTGTCGATCTCAAGGTACACGCACTCGTCCGTTCGAAAGTTGAAGCCCTCTTCAGTTCTCAACGTATGTGTTAAGTTGAAGAAGATCTTCCCCCCGGAGGCGTTATGATATCATTGCACCTTTTTGTATTGTTGGAAGAGATTATCCCACTTCTTACTTATGTTGCCAGTCGTCCGGTTCACTCCCACCTCCATTAAACGCTTCTGCAAGTCATGTGGTTTCCATTCTGTATTCCGCATCCGCCTGTAGTTGTGCGGCATTCCATCAAAATGAGCTTGTTGATCTTGCTTCGCCTGGGTGAGTTTGAGCATCTCCTCAACACTCCATGTCAGATGTTTGGCAACCTTATTGCCTGCAGGACCTTGTGATCCACGACCAGCATGGGAAACGGCCATAAGTTAACGCCCGCCTCCGCCCCTTCCTCTACCACGCACAGCCACGGGTCGAATCTCCAAATTTCCCGCGTCTTCCGCTTCCTCTTCACAAAGAACATCTGGAGATTCATCACCACTCGCGCTCAGGGAGTCACCCGCGTCGTCGTCGCTTCCCACATGCATCCACGACACCCTGTCCGTTATGTTTTTTGCACTCGGTCGACTCATTTGTTGCCGATAGGATTCCCACACCTTCTCTCAAACTCTTTTATGCTCCGTGGTCGACCTACCACTACCTCTTAAGGATATACAAGGGACCCCTGCAAGCATAGCTATCTACCTCTCTTGGTGAAGGGAGGTTACCTCTCTCTGTGGAGAGAGGTAGTTGCATGTTTGCCCCTTCAAGTTGCCTTAGTGGTTTAGGGTGTAGGGTTGGGACCGCTGGTGGGGGCCTGGCTTACACAAGGACCGAGCATTTGCCAGTAGCTGCACCTCCCTTTTCATCTTCTGCCAACCCCATCGAGTAACGGTAGTGCCTAAGGCCAACACTCTCTCACACACCGCATGCTGCCACTGACACTCAGACTCACACCTGTGTTGGCTGAAGACCCGACTGATACCAACCAGAAAAACCCAGCTGACTATCTCAATTGGTTGGCACCAAATATACTGCAGGCGGCCACGAGGACTGAACCATTGACCTCCTGAATGCCACTTGCGTGCCTAACAAATTGAGCTAGGCCACTGCATGCAAACACAGTTATGGGAAGGCGTTTCAAAGGGTTTTTTTTTTCTCAAAGAAGGGTGACCACCTTGAGATAGTAATTGGTGAACTGACTGACCCATGTTATTCAAACAGTCCAGTCGCGTATCTCCACCTGCATTCGAACTCAGACCTGTATTTCACAGTCCATAAACGTACTCCGCTAGCATTCCTTTCTCACGCTCCTATTATTTTAATGCAACTTAATCCACTAATATCATGCCCAAAGATGCTACACCCCCTTGTCCTCCAATTTTCAAAAAAAAAAAAAAAAGATTTATCATTGAAGTTAGGTATGTTGTCTTCTTTATTATATACCTTTGCTAATGCATGAGCTCGGTACTATCCCTAGTGGGGAAGATAGAAGTCCTTAATAAGTTGTTGATAACGTTTTTCAGTCGGCTTACATTGTCTTTGATCCTTATGTTACCATCGTATCTGATCCCCCAGTTGACACTCTCTTTGGTCCGTCGGTTGCAACTCTCTCTAACTCCACTGCCACTGGCTCATTAGACTCCTCACTGCCAGAGAAGGCTTGATAATTTGATAGTTGACAAGGTCCTTATGATTTGGATCACGACGTGAGCTACACATTGTTGTTATTCATGTGACCGATTGCGATTGACAATTTGTCACCAAATGAAAATACCGTTTGCGGACTTCGCACTATGGTGTTTCAGTGGTTGCAAATACTTATTTGAGTTCATCCTCCTAGAAGGTTACAAAGGTTAACATCTCATGAATTCTTCGTCCGACTTCTGTTATAATGTCCAACGTGATCTTCACCAGTTGAAGCTTCCTTGAATCTCATGTGGCGAATTTCTTCAAATAGATTTGGCTAATCGAAGCAATGTTCATTGCTTAGAGGTAATGATAAGCAAAGATCGGGACATCAATGCAATAGGTTTAAAAATGTTGTTGAAGTTTCGATTTTGACCCAGACATC